AGTCCCTGTCCTGGACCTTTCGTCCCTGCCACTGGATCGCAGGAGCGGCTGGTCCCTCCCGGTTTCTCTGCAGATGCGGAAATGCAGACAGGCTGAAGGCGGCCCAAGGGACCACGCACTTTAGGGGTGGAGGGGCGGGGCCTGGCCTCGCTGGGGTGGAGTCGCTGGGTGTTTCTAGATACCAAGGAGCCCCAGGTCGCCGGGAAGGGGCTGGCGGGCAGGTTCCCCCAACCTGCTCAGCATCCCCTCAGAGACTGCAGGAACACTGTAGAAAGGAAGGGGGAGGTCCCGGGACAGCCCCCAGGGCTGAAGCCTCTCAGGCCGCCGGGCTGCACGGCCCCGCGGGGATCCGGGCCCGGTCCTGGCCCAGAGGCTCTCCAGAGCTCACACTGTGAGCCTGTGACAGGGCCGAGGAAGCAGGTGGTCCAGGACCCAAATCATCCACAGGGCCTGTGCAGTTCTCTCGTGACAAAGAAACGAGCCGTTCGTGTTCATAAACCTGGATGCTCCCCGTTCTGCCTGGGCCGGGCCTCAGTGACCGGGCCAACCGGACTGTGGAGCGGAGGGCGCGGGACGCAGTGGCCACCTCTCGTCCCTCCGGGGCAGGTAGGGGCGGCACCGCCAGCCCCTCCGAGTGGGCCCGGAAGGTCCCAGCCACCTGAACACAGCCTGCTCCGCCCTGGGTTCGGATGCAGGTCCCCTGAAGGACACCAGGCCCGCCTGCGCAAAGCTGGAGTTATCCATCTCGGAGCCCCAGCGGGGTCCCAGCCCTGCCCGAGGCATTTTAACTAATGGGACACTTAGTTTAATGAGGACCCTTTGCATAACAGAGACCTGCTAATTAAATTTTAAACCTTGTCCTTCCCAGGATTCGCCTGGGCTCCGCTCCGAGGTGGGACTGGGGGAGGGGACCCTCCCGGGAGAGGCCGCTCGCTGCCCCCCACAGTCCCGGTCCCTCTAAGGAGCTGCGAGGTTTGCCAGGAAATCCGAGGTGCGCGGGGCTCCCCGCTGCCCTCCCTGTCCCTCTGCCCCACCCACTCGGGGGGGGGGCTAGCCCGGCAGGCCCCGCCCCGTCTTCGCCTCCCCAGTGCTGGGCAAAGCCGTAGACCGGGAAGGGAGCTTGTGAAGCTGGATATGCAGGCAGAGGGGACCGGCATTTGGGCCCTGGGCTCCATCCCGCTGCCTGCCAGGGAGTCCCGGGGGCGTGAGGGCAGCGGCTAGGCGACCCCAGGAGCCGGTGGCCTTGACTTCCGGCCTGCCCACCTGCTGCAAGCAGGGCCCTGCTAATTCCCCTTTTAAAAGGAAGGTGAAGGAAATGAAGCGCTTTAAGTGAAGGCCGGCCCCACAGCCCTCCTCCCCCTGGAGACCCGGGCTCCCCTCCGCCCACGCCCCCACTTCCTGTCCCGGCTGCGGGGGCCGCTGTGGAGCGCTCCGTAGGGGCCGGCTCTCTCCCCGGGCAGTCCGCAGCGCCCCTGCCCCGGGGGCCAGTCGCCCAGGTCTGCATTGCTCCCACCTGTGGGCCTTCGAGGAGCAAGGGCCAGAGAGCAGCCGCAGGGCTCTGTGTGGACTCCCGTCTGCAGTTCTGCACCAGCCCTGGACGGGCGTCAGGGGCTGAGGGGATTCTGTGCTTATGGGGTCCTTTTTAGGTTTGCTTTTTGAGGTAGGGTCTCACTGCGAAGTTCAGGCTGGCTTTGAACTCTGTACCTTGAACTTCCCACTGGGAGTGGTTGGAGAGAAGGCTGTGACTGGAGGTCGGGTTCTGGGGCACTCAGGATCCTCCTGCCTCAGCCTCCCGAGTCCTGGGATTATAGCCCTGCACCACCGCACTTGGCTTGTGCTTGTTCCTGAGGAAAGACTGTCCCGCTGTCCAGGGGCAGCCCTGTCACTTACCAGCCACCTCACAGGAATGCTCAAGGGTTCCGGCTTCCCCACACCCTCCCTGATCTCGGAGGCTTCTGAAGTTTTCTGGTTTGGGGGTTTGTTTCTATTTGTTTGTTTGTTTTTTCTGCGGTGCAGGGATAAAGCCAGGACTGGAGCTAGCAAGCCAGGGCTCACCTCGAAGCACATCCCACCAGCAGCCGGGATTTAAGCACCATCCTGGGTGTGGGGTGGTGACCCACCTGCCGTCGGGAATCACTCTCGGCCCTGAGAGGCTCAGATTGACTGGCTGTGGGGTTGGAGCTGAGTGGCCCCTGGGGCTGCTTCTCCCAGGGGTCCCCACCTCCAGTCACGCCCTCTCCAGCACCCCAGTGGGGAATGGACAAGACTGGAGGGGCACAGGGGCCACACTGCGCCCGCCAGCAGGAAGCCCCGCCCCACAGCCCGCCGGACCGGCTTCCTGTCCATCCCCAGGGCGCCTGAGCTTGGAGCGAGTGCTGAGTGTGCACGGTGTGTGGCTGTGTGCGTGTAAGCTCCGCAGCCGCAGAAAAGTCTCGCCTGCCGCCCTGTGCTGGGTCCCAGGTGCCCAGGTCCTCAGTCGGCTCCACAGAGGCCTGGCGTGCGTGGCACGGTCAGCTCGCTGGCATCCCCACGGGAGGGTCTGGGCACAGGCCTTGCGGGCTCAGGCGCGGGGCCTGCAGGACACCCCCACACTCTCCTGGACCCTGGGCGCCCGAGTCCCGGTTTCCCGGTCGTCCTAGGCTCACCTCGAGCCCCAAAGTGGCAGCTTCCTTTCTCTCGCCCCGTCTGTATTGAGAGGGCTCTGCGGGTCAAGATGAAATATTTTTATGGTAAAAAATGAGCCTGCGTTGCGTCGGCCTCGGGAGGTGGGAGCCGTCACCGGGTCTGGCAGACAGATGAAAATTCTGCTTATGAAGTCGAGGCTCCCCCATTAATTAGGGGGGAGGGGGCGCGTCCGCCAGGGTACACCACGCCCATGGCCCAAAAGCTTGTCAACACGGCCCCGGAAGCCTGGAGACGCAAGTAACTTTCCGATTATTCAATGTCAGCGAGGTAGGGGAAAAGGCCTCCACGTGGTGTTATTCATCTCAGCGGGGATTTAAAGAGCTTTTTTCTATTAAATTTCTTTAAATTAATGTTGTATGTTGCTCAGAGTAATTTGAACAATTATTGGCCTAAAGAATTGATCATTACAGCCCCCAGGATTCGACGCTTGGCCTGAAGCCTTTGAAAACCCACTGATTTATCGAGGCCGCAGCTCCGCCCGAGCCCGGTGTGGGTCCCAGCCCCCCATGCTGCCTTAGCAGGGTCGCTCCTGGCAGATGGCAAGGAGGAGAGAGGGGGGGTGTCCCAGGCCCTGACTGGGGCGTCCTGGAGGCCCAGAATCCCCCGAGCAGATTGACAGGAGGAGGAAGGAAGCCCACGGATGCACTGGTGGGAATCGCTGCTTTTACCTTTCAGGTGCTTACCCTGGTGGTGGAGCAGGATCAGAGCCCACAGTTAAGGGGCCCAGGCCGGTGAGGCGTCCCCACGGGCCCTGGCCCAGGGCTCTTCCATGTGGCAGCTGGGAGAGGAGGTGTTCTCACTGCAGCCACCGGCTCCCCCCACCACAGCGGGCCTGGAACCCCCCGTTGGGGGCCGTGCTGGGCCTGGGTCAGGCTAAGGCCGCTGGACAACAGGAGCCTGGGAGGTCATAGCTGAGAGTCTGCCCTGAGTCTGCTCAGGGACGGCCCACTGTGAGCCAGCCTACACTCGGTTCAGGTAGGGAAACTGAGGCCAGGACATCTGACACGAGTGGACCCTCGGGGGCCAGTCTGTGTCCCCTGCTGAACCCCACCCAGGTCACCCAATCTGCACTTGGTGGGGAGGGGGCACCACCCCATCCTGGGGGAGATCAGCGTGGCCAGCTGGAGGGAGTGCGCTGGGCACCCGGGACAGGCGAGGCCCAGGGGACACTTAGCACTTCATTAACCTGTCAGAGCCTAAAAGGCCCTGGGGGTGGGGGAGGGCAGCCCGCTGATGGATTCGCTCCACCCTGGCCACTGGCACTGCACCCGGCCCTCCTGCCTGTGCCCTTCCCCAAAATCCAGAATCTAAAGCTGCTTTCTGTGGGAGGGGGCGTCTGCCGCCCCCAGGCCAGCTGAGGACGTCCGGCATTTTCCAGGTGGCTGTCTCTGGGTGCCCACATCCCACCTGGAGCCGCCATCCCTGGCCTCCGCTCCCTCCCTCCCTCCAGGGCGCCCAGAGGCCTCTCGAGCCCGGTCCTGCCTTGGGGGGCAGGCAGGCGGCCCCTCCTTGTCCTCCCCTTTCCCCAGCAACTCCCAGCCCTGGTCAACGCCCCCAGCATCTCTGCAGACGGAGCAGGGAAGGCAGCACAGCATAGACCACGCCTTTCTCTGCGGGTCCTCGGGTCCTCAGAGGGAGCCCAGCTCCGAATTCCTCCCTGCTGGCCCAGCCTCCTCCACTGCAAGGATGGACACCCACCCTGTGCCTTCCGCTCCCCAGCGGGGACTCTGCACCTGTGAGGAGGCTGTGGTGGGACAGGGCCAGCCTCGGGGCTCAGGAAAAACTGTATCCTGCCCCAGGCATTCACAAAAGACAGAGGCCCACGGGCCGCCCCAAAAGCTTGCTGGCCCTGAGGGGACCCTCAGAGGGGTGGCCCAGCCTCGGTCTGCAGAAATCCCTGCCAGGGGGACCCCTTGCCTGCCTCTGCCCTTAGATCCCCTTTGGGGGCAGCTGCCTTGGTCCTCATTTCACGGGGAGGAATGCAGGACTCCCAGGGGTCAGGTTACTGGTCCTGGGGCACACAGCAGGGCAGTGGGCCAGCTGGAACCGGAAATCAGCTTGGAGACTCCAGGAGCAGGTGCCCCAGCCACCAGCACCCGGGACATCAGCACTCTGGTCCAGATGGCAGTTCCCCGGTGTCCCAGTCCCAGTGACCAGGGACAGCAGAGACGCTGCCCGGGCGTAAGTGGTCCCAAATCCACATCAGTGCCAGGCTGGCAAGGGACAGCACCCCTGCAGGGCCCTCTCTGAGGACTGAACCTCCCTCCGCCCTCCCTCAGCCCGCACCCCCAGCCCAGCAAAAACAGGGCCTTCCAGAGACTGCAACTGACAGATTTATTGACGTCTTGGAAAGACCTGACCACCAGAGAATAAATAAAGTCACAGGGCATTCACAGAGCCAGCTGGTGGCCCGATTTTGTTTTGGGAGTGACTCTGACCTAGGTTGGGGTGCAGGCACCTTCCAGAATCACCTGGAGGAGCCCCACCCCGCCCATCTCCCCTCCGCAGGCAGAGGGCTGGGGAGGGCCGGCTGTTTGGCAACTGAGCTCTGGGCAGAACCTGGACACTGTGCCGAGGGGGAGGGAGACCCAATCTGGGGGCTCCCGGGGGATCCCCGGAATCCCCACCTCCTTAGCAGGGCACTCAAGATCACTGGAAGGCTGGAGAGACCCAGGGGAGGGGGACAGGGGCCCCCGGAGGGGAGCTGGTGACCAGGAGGCCTGAGCCCAGGGAGAAGACCAGCCCCAGGGCCTTGTCCTTGGCCCCAGAGGACCTGGCGGGCCTTCTCACCCCAGCCTGGACCGCCAGGCCGGGTCTCCACCGGAGGGGTCAGGGACCAGCGTGTGGAGCCGGGAAATGCAAACCCAACTATTTGCATCTTTACAGTCAGACCAGAAAGCACTTCCAGCCCCGGGCATTACGGGTCAGAACCAGCAGCAAATGCTCAGGTGGCCCTCGGGTGGAGATTCGCTTCCGAAGCACAGCCCCAGGCCTGGCCCTGCGCAGCCTCCGGGCAGCCCGGCCAGTGTCCTTCATCCTTTCACGGAGAGGCCCGGAGCCCCGGCCATGCGCAGCCGAGGAGAGTCGGAGCTGGGCTCCGCAGATGCCAGCCCTCCCCAGACGTCCTCTTCGGCCTCCCTCCAAGGCCCTCGGGGGACGGCATCCCTCACCCTCACGTCCAGTGCTGCCATGCTGGGCCTCGGTCAGAACTGGCCGTGATCCACCTCGTCCAGCCAGGAGGCCGGGCTGGCAGGGAAGTCGGGGTAACCCCCGCTGCTCCCCGTGGACAGGTCGGAGCTGGGTCCGTTCCCCGCCAGCCCCCTCATGGCCGGGGTGCCCCCTGGGGCTCCCGAGGGCACGAGGCCCAGGCTGGTGTCAGGGTACAGCAGGCTGGAGAGCAGGGGCTGGGGGCCAGGGAGGCTCTGCGGGGCGGCAGGGGACGGGGCGATGCCGTAGGGGCTGCCAGGGCGCAGCTCTCCGTACGGTTCTGGGCCTGCCAGACCTCCGTGCTCCAGCGCGAAGCTGCCCAGGGCACCCGAGGGCCGGCCCAGGGTGGGGGTAGGCTCCCTCAGGCCTCCGTACAGGCTGCTGGCTGGGCCCATTTCCGCCAGGGTCGGCTCCTCTGCAAGGGAAGTGGGGAGTGCCGATCAGGGCCCGCCCTGGGTTCTCGGCTGGGGCGGCGCAGGCTCCGCAAAGCCCCTCCTGCTCGCAGAATTTACAGCAGTTCCTGCTCCCTCCCCAGCCTCCGAGTTCGCGCCGCCCGATGGGACCCGCTGGTGTCCCAGGAAGGTGACAGCGAGGACACCAACCAGGGACCAGCATGATCCCCCCGGGGAGCCCCCGTGGGGGCATCTGTACCACCACCCCCATTTATAGATAGGAAGCGTGGGTCCTGAGAGGTGGGGGTAGGGCGGGCACGCAGCCCCAGGCAGGTGGCCTCAGGGCTGAGTGTGTGTTCCCGCGGCGGAGAACAGAGTGCTCGGAGCCTTCTCTCCTCCCCCAACTCCAAGCAGCCAGGACCTTTTACCGTTTGCCCCAGAAGCCTGCTTGGGCTCCCAGAAATCACTTCAGGGCTGTGGGCCGAGAGGCTGGCCCGTCCCCCACGAGGTAGGTGGCAGCCCGGTGCCCAGCCTAGGAACAAGGCGGTCCCAGGGGCCCTTCTGGTCACTGGGAGGACCGTGGTCCCAAGTGGCCAGGCCCCAGCCGGGACAGGGACGGATCCGGTCTGTCGGGGGAGCATGATGTGAGTGTGCCAGCCAGGAGACCCCGGGCCTGGCACCTGCGACCGTGGACCCCACGTCTCTCCCGACCACCAGCTCCCGCAGAGCCCAGCCCTACCATTGAAGGAGACCTCGGCGTCGCTGTCCTGCCCCTCCTGGACGCTGTCCTTGTCTGACTTGGAGCTGCCCCGGGAGCGCTTCATGTTGCGGAAGTACTGTCCCCAGCGCTGCCGGCCGGCGTCCTTCTTCAGCCTTTTCTCCTTGGCCCGGCGGTTCTGGAACCAGACCTGGGGGCGGAGGTGGTGAGGGGACCCGGGCGGCATCCCCGCTGTCGGGAGGGACCTGCGGCAGCCTCGTGGGCGGAGCACTGACCTGCACGACGCGCATGTCCAGCCCGGTCTCCGAGGACAGCTGCTCGCGCACGTGGCGCGCGGGCTTGGGAGAGGCGTTGTACGCGCTCTTCAGCGTCTCCAGCTGCTTGGCCGTGATGGTCGTGCGCGGCCTCTTGGCGGTGGCCTCGGCCTCTGCAGCGGGAGGATGAGCGGTGAGGCCCCGCCCCGGGCCCGCGCATGACCCCCAGGGCCCGCCGACAGCTTCCTGGAGAGTTGGGGCTCGGAGAGGGGTGGAGAGAGCGAGCGCACAGCGGAGGGAGCGGAAGAGGGGCTTGGGGCCCAGTCCCACCCCACGCGGCGCCTGCAGCCTGCAGCCTGCAGCCCAGTCCGGCTGGGCCTCTGCTGCCCCGGAGAGCAGACCAGGCAGGGGCTCTGCAGCCGAGGGAGTGGGAAGAATTCGGAGCACAGGTGTCGGCCCGCCCGTAATTCAGAGGCCAGGTTCCCGTTCCCGCTGCTCGCAGCTCCGGATCACCCGCTCTGACGCCGTGGATGGTGTGCGGGCCCCAAACCTCCCGCCCACACTCAGGCCTCCAGGAGCGCGGGGGAGGGCACAGAGGTGAGGCGTCCCCAGCACCCTCCCGAGGCCCTCCCGCTGACCTCGCTGCTTGGCTGTCTCGTAGTCGGCCTTGCACACCAGCCGGCTGTCCTCCATGAGGTAGAACTCGTCGCCCGTGGCCAGCTGCCGCTTGCACACCACGCAGGCGAAGCAGTGCAGGTGGTACACGAAGTCCTGGGCCCGGCGCACCACCTGCGTGGGCGGGATGCCCAGCTGGCACGCAGCGCACTTGGTCCCGAAGCGCCTGTGGGACGCACAGGGGCTCAGCAGCGGCCGCTCCTTCGCCCAGAGTGGGTTGGGAGCCAGGGCCAGTGGCGCTGGGTGGGGGGGGGTGGACAGGTCCCGCCCTGGCCCGAAGTGAGAGCCCCGCACCTTCACCGCTGGGAAGGGGCCTCGACCTCCCCGGGGCAGCACCCTCAGCCCCACTGCCTGAGCTGCCCCAGCATCCGGGTTGGGGCAGCACAGGGATGGGGGCCAGAGACAGAGGGCGGGGGAGGGAAGACTAAGGGGAAAGGGGACCCGAGGAGGGTCAAGTTGTGCCGCGTCCTGTGCCAACTCCCCAGCACACGTGCAGTCACTGTGCAGCAGACAGGGACCGGCACAAAATGTAAGCAAAAAAAAATTAAATCCACAGCTGCAGAATGGATCCACACGTCCTCATTACCCCTGCTCTGTAAATGCAACTTTCTAATGTTAGAAAAGAGGGAGTAAGTCTGGTAGAGTTCTGCCAATCCGGGCTTTTTAAACAACTGCTTCCCTGATTTATAAAACAAATCACTCCCCTCCCCACAGCATTTATGAACGTCCCAGCCAGGGCCAAGCCATCCACAGGGTCCCCCAGCCTCACCCCAGCATGGCTGGGCCCCAGGGTGCCCTGGCTGGGGGCTGGGGTTCGGATGGAGGCCCAGGGCCCTTGGGGCGCCTGATCTCAGCTCTTCCCCAGGGCTGGCCCTGCGGCCTCCCTGTCCATCCTCCCCTCTCTGCTGCCCTGGGCTCACTTGAAGAAGTCGTCCTTGCAATACACGCTCTCGCCCCGGCTGAAGCAGCGCTCGGCCAGCGGCGTGTGGCAGTCGCTGCACTTGAGGCACTTGCTGTGCCAGTGCCGGTCCAGAGCCTTCAGGACGAAGCGGTCCAGGATGTGCTGGTCACAGCCGGCACACAGCGGGATCTCTGCAGGCACAGGAGCGGCCCAGGTCGGGTGTGGGACCTCCCAGACCTTCTCTGGGGCTGAGCCAGCCTCCCTTCCAGCCCCTGGATGGACCCAGAGCTGCCTAGGGACCCCCTGTGCCGCCACGCTTCAGGCTTGAGTGGCTGCCTGGCTCTCCAAGTGCAGGAGGGGACTGGAATGCGTCCCACGGCCAGGCGGCAGCTAGGAAAACCGAAATGGTTTTAGAAACGTGTCTGGGTGCAGGACGGTGGCCGGCCACCCCAGGAGGCTGAATCTTGCCAACACAAGAGCTGCACAGGGCCAAGGACGCAAGTGAAGCTCAATGCATACTCAAGCCCGGGGATCCTCTGGGGACAAAACACGGGAAGGCCCGTTCTCTGGGTCCCCTGGAGGCCGGCACAAGTGGGGAACAGAGCGCCTCTGCCCAGCACCTCCTTTGCTTTAAACAGCTGAGGATCCCGGCTTCACTTTGCAGATTCCCAGCAAGGCAGTGCCTGCCCTCGTCCTGCCTGCAGCCTCCAGGGTAAAAGTGCCATCCTTCCCATCGGGTGGCTGAGGAGCACTACGTGCGGCGCGGCTCGGGCACAGAGTCAGGGCACACGGTGGATGGTTTGCCTCCCCACACCGCCAGTCACTTCAACAGCGCCTGCAGCCTCTGGGGAAGCCCGAGGGAGCCCCCAGGGCCAGCAGGGGCCCTTCCAGGTGTTTGTGTCTGAAGACTCTATGCTAATTGAAAACTGGTCCGAAGAGGGGAGCGCGGCACGCAGGAGCCGGGATCTCCCCAGACAGGGACCCCAGGCCCTGCTCGCCGCCCTGGCCGCACACTGCGGGCTCCAGGCCGTGCCCGGGGTGGGAGGCCCTGGGAAGGGCTCATTCTGGCTGAGGAAGGAAAAGGTTTCACAACCTCACTCCTGCTCTGGCGGGAGACCTGTGATGGACGCGTGGCCCCGCGTGGGGCAAAGCCCCGGGGTCGCGTGAGGAGCGAGAGAACCCTGGGGCGCCCGGGACACCTGTTAGGAGTCGATCCGTCCGCGGGAGCCGCGTAGCGCGGATTCAGCACCGCGGTCCGGACAGCGGCAGGTGCACGGCCGCCAACCCCGCTTCGGGCAAACGCCGACGCCGCTGCCGGCCACCCGCGACTCCAGCGATACCTGCGCCCCGCGCCCCAGCTCACGCTGCTTGGCCACTCCGGGTCGGCGGTCCCTGCCCGCGCCGCGCCCCTCCCGCCCCCTGCCTCGCCCTCCAGCCCCGGCTGCCGAGCCGCCCTCCCAGGAACCGGGAGGACAAATTCCTAAGCGGGCCAGACGGCGCGGCCCCTTCCTGCTGCCCCCGCGACCCACTACCAGCGCGCCCTCCGCCCCTCTCCCGGGCCCAGGATGCGGGGACCGTGGCCCGGGGCTTCTCTCGTGGCCGCCCGTCCCGCAGTGGGCGGTGGCCGCGGGAGCGCTCGGGTGCGGCGTGGGACCTGGGTCTGGAGGTCCGCGGCCCAGCGCGCTGCCCCTGCCCGACTCGTCCCCGGGAGAGCGGGGAGTGTCCAGGGCGCACGGGAGTCTGGGGGACCCCGGACGCCGGGCGGCTCCTGGACCCCAGGGTTGCCCGCCGGGCCTCGCGCGCGGCGTCGCACCCACCTCGGCGCAGGTCCGCCCCCCGCGCCAGCAGCGCCAGGAGCAGGTCGCCCCCCGCGGACTCCCGCGCCGGCTCCAGCTCCGAGTGCGCCTCCATGGGGTCCGGCGGAGCCGCGGGGCCCAGCCGGCGTCCAAACCGCTCCGCGCTGCTGGGCGCTGCGCCCGCGGGCGGCCGGGCCCGAGCCTGGGCGGCAGAGGGCGGAGCGCGGGGCGGGGCCGTGGCGCGGGGCGGGGTCGCAGGCTTGTGCGGGCCCGCGCTGGGCCGGGGGCAGGACCGGGGTAGGGGCTGCCCCTGGCTTCCGTCCTGGCCCGCAGCCGGCTCCGGAGAGCCCCCAGACAGCCGGGGTCAGGTGGAGGGAGGGAGCCGGGTTCTCCCGCCCTGAAGTTTGGCCTCGGGAGCTTCACGACCCAGAGGCTTCGAGAGGGCCACCTGAACCCCAGAGCGAGCCAAAGGAGCCGGACGCCACCCTGGGCCTCCCGGCGCCACTCGCGTCTGGGTCACCCCTGGAAACGCTGGAGGGCGACTCTGGGGCGGGGGCGGGGGCGGCGCTCTCTGCGCTCTGGCTCTGGCGCGCACAGAACCTTCGCACCTGGCTTCCCTGAATCCTGCCCAGTGCACTCAGGTGAGCCCGGGAGCTGCCCTGGGCCGGCGCAAGAGGCCCCAGGAAGCGCGGAGAAGCCAGCAGGTTGCTGTAGGCCGAGGAGAGTGGCCCCGTCCACCTGCGTGTTTGGTGCCGTGGGCTATGAGGACTCGGGCTGGAAGGAGGGAGTGGGGACGGCCCTGCAGCCCCCAGGCCACTTTGCCTGTGACTCCACTCCGGGAGGGCCCCAGCACACCCTCCTGGGGGAGTGGGCACCAGGGCGCCAGGGAGCGGCCGTTGGGTATCAGCTGCGGCAGAGGCGGCCCCACGCTGCTGGCATCTGGCTGGCCGCTCACAATGCCTGTGTTATCTCCCAACGCTCGTGGCCATGGACTGGCCCCTGGGGAGGACAGTGCAGGCGGCAGGCACGGCCAGAAGTCCCCTGCTGCAAGCTGCGGTGGACTGGAGAGGCACCGAGCCACGCGCCCTCGGCCTGTCGCCACGCCGTGCCCCACTTGCAGTCACCCTGGCACTGCTCCCCTCTGGGCCCAGCCGGTTCTGCCCGCCCGCTCCCCGTGCTCGGGCTGGGCGCATCAGCTCTTACCCCGAGTGCCCCCGAAGGTGCCCAGCGTGTGAGCGGCCGCCGCCCCGGGCCTGTCTCGGTCCCGCTCAAGCCCCGTTTCCAGTAGCATCGCGGTGGAGGAGTTCGGTCGGAGCTGGAGTCTCCGCGGGCTGCAGCTCGTCCCGGCCCGGCGCTGTCGGGTCGAAGCCCAGCACTGGCGGGCGCTGTTCGCGGTGCTGAAGGAAAGCCCCGCCCCGCCCCGGCCCCCTCGTCTTCGGGGCGGAGCCGGGGCGTGTGTCTCTCCGGGGCTGGGTCAGGGCCCCTGGGCCTGGCCCAAGGCGGTTATTTAAATGCTAAAGACCCGCCTGGAGGCACCGCCTTCGCAGCAAGCGGGGCGGGAAGCCTCACAGCTCCGGAAGCCCGGCCAGGCAGCCAGAGGTCCCCCCTGCAGACGCAGGCCCGGCTTCCCCGGGATCCCGCCAGGGCCAGCTATCTCTCCCGACCCAGCCTCAGAAAAACAAGCTGCGAAGGACTCCACAGCCCGAGCGCAGGCCTGGGCACTGCCGCCTGGGAGGCCGGGCCGGGGTCCTGCTGGAAGCCAGGGCTGGGACCCCTGCTGCAGCCCTTCCCATTGAAGGGAGGGCTGCCAAGCAGGGTGCCTCTGGAGTCCTGAAATAATTCGAGGTGCTGTTCTGTAGCCGTCGTGGTCCAGATTGGTGCCAAGGGGTCCCTCCGAGCCCAGGCTGTCTTCCAAAGACCCTGGGACTCTGTATGAGAAATTCCAGGATTCCAGACCTCCGGCCAGGACACTAGATGGGAAGAGGGACCCGGGCCCACCCCTCTGAGCACAGCGGAGGGGCTCATTCTTCAAAGAACCGGGACAATTTCCTCGAATGTTTTCTTTATTCTTAAAATGTGCACAATTATAGTTTACTTAAATACAAAATGTCCATTTTCTTCGTAGGTAAGAAATTTCACTAACATTTTCATGTCAATTGGCTTTTTAATCAAAATCTTTCCATTAAAAATAAATAAACATTTAAATTATCGAACTATTATATTCATTAGTCTCCACACCTCTTGTAATACTTAAAACCTCAGGAAACAGACCTCACGCCATCCCTAAGGGTGAGGTACGGGGACTGGGCCAGACCCCTGCCCTGCCCTGGGACAGCCAGGACCATGGCAGCAACTGCCGACAGTGAACCCTTGGGAGCGGTGGCCAGTCCCCTGTGGCAGCAACTCTTGGTTCAGAATCCGCTTCCCTGGGAAAGACTCATCCCACATCACCAGAGCTGTTTCGCTGAGGCTTCTCAAGCAGACAGGCAACTCAGTGCCTTCAATAACCCGGGCACAAAACCAGCGGCCAAGACCAGCAACAAAGGACTCTAGGGATTAAAAGGCGTCAAACAGGAAGCGAGGCAGGCGGCAGCCAGGCCCCTCGCCCCAGCAGGAGCTCCCTGCCCCCTCCTCTGCATTCCTCCTGCATTGGGGAGGCCAGGCAAGCGACAGCTGTCCATGTGTCTCACGCAGCAGCAAGGACAGCAATGTTACAGGCTCTCAACGACACCCATGTGACCATCATTAGGGAACATGGAAGTATAAAATATAAAATAGACAAAGTGGAAAAATGTTTACAACTGTCCTGGTCACACACATGCGCGAGTGCGCACACACGGCATGCACTTGCCTCTAACCCACTTCATTCCCCCAAAAGCAGCTTGTGGGGTAAGCCGCTGGCATGGAAGGTCCAACAGGAGTCCTGGGAACATCTGCTTTGCTCTGCTGAAGTCTAGAGGTAAACTTACCACTAAACTGCTTTGGGTTTTACAAACAACACGTTTAAACTGTTAAATGGTCAAAACATCCCCAGGGAGGCCAGCCTGCTGGGACCTTCTCCCCAGCAGGGGCCTCTTGGGGCTCCCAGTGCCTCCTGGGGCTCAGGCCGAGGAGTAACCCAGGAGGCAGCAGTGCTGGGGGTCTCCTGGGGACCCTACCCACACTGACCCTGACAGCCACATTGGGGTGGCCCTCACGTCTCTGCTGCCACACAGACAGGAGGCACTGCCACCACCCTGGCCCTTCCAAGCCCCGAGTTTACTGCCCACCGCCCTCAGTTAATTCTTTTTTTTTTGTTACCAGGGATTGAACTCCGGACCTTGCACTTGAGAGGCAGACAGTAGAACCACTGAGCTAAATCCCCAGCCCCTCAGGTTAATTCTAAGAGAAAGCAAAGCCACAAAACTCCCGGGCCTACAGGCCTGCAGGCTCCAGTGACCAGAGCCCTCCACGGCCTCTGCACCTGAGCGCCCATGGCCACAGCTCATGCAGGAACAGCCAAGCAGCGGAAAGGCATTGACGGCAAAGCCAGCCCTATGCCTGCGTCTGTTCTGAGGCACAGGAAAGGCCTCTGTTGAGGTTTTGCTGTGTCACCACGAGGCCACCTCCAGGAGCTTCTCCAGGTGCAAAGCCAGGCCCTGCGGGAGTCTCAGCCGGAGCCCTGGTGGGTCCCCTCTGCTCCTCCCTTCCTGGCAAGGGATGCACAGAAGGCCCTGACATGAGCTGCAGGCGCCATGGACAGGACCCAGGGCCAGCGCTCCTGCAGGACACAGTGCCCCAGGGCCACATGGCGGGGTTCCAGACTCCCCCCGAGCCGCCCCGGCCCTGGCCCTGGCAGGAGGGCACTACACGGCAGGGTGGTAGAGCCGCACTTTCCAGCGTTTGGAGCGCACCCGGAAGAAGAAGTACATGAGCATGAGGAAGAGGGAGGAGGCCACGTAGAGCACCAAGCAGAGGCTCATGTCCAAGCTGGAGAAGCCGATGCCCAGGACGGGCGCTGCCGCCTCGGCCTCCCCACGTGCCCGGGGCCCCCGGGGACTCTGGGCTCTCACATCCAGCAGGTGCTGCGGGCTCTCAGAGAGGCTGCTGGGCAGGCGGAGGCTCGCCGCGTCCTGGTGCCCCTGGGGCCGCTCAGGGGCAGGGAGGCCTCTGCTGCCCCTCGCGTCCCCCAGGTCCACAGAGTAGGTGTCCAGCAGGTTGCTGCCGCCATAGTGCCGCTTCAGGAATGCCAGCACCTGGCCCTCGTGCCAGCTGTCCAGGCCCTTGATCTCCTCGTGGCAGGCGGGGCAGAGGTCCGGAGTGGGCCAGGGGACCTTCGGGAACTTGGGGTCCTCGCTCAGCTGGCCTAGGGGAAGGGACGGGGTGACCTCGGGGAAAGGTCCCGATCCACCCCCGCGCACTCGGCCCCCAGGCACCGCACTTCCTGTGCAGCCTCTGGCAGCCCCTGCACCTCCAACCCAGCAAAGACCCCCCCCGCCCCCTCAGGAGGGGGCACAGAGGCCTCCTGCACACCCCCTCGTGCCTGACTGCTCTGGCCGCTGAGGTGCTGTGCCCGATGTCACTGTGCCCCATACTCTGGGTGCTTGGCCCGCCTGGTCCCCTGAGGACTCTGCAGCAACTTGGAGGGCTGCAAGGACATAGCCGGTTGCGCTGAGCCACGCTGACCCCAGACGGCAAAGCGGGCTCCAAGGCCCCCAGAGACACCCTGGGAGAGGCCCTGCCAGCTCTGTACGCGGCATCGTAGACCCAGCCAGCACCTCCAACAGACACAGGCGCTGCAACTGGCCACTGTCTGCTGTCTGGGCTGGGAGCGAACCAGACGCCTGCTGTTCAGGCCTCCCTGTGGCTGTTGCCTCCTCCTGGTCGTGGCACTGGTGTGCCGCCAGCCCTCTCCCTGTGCTAGGCACACAGGTGCCAGCGCGTCTCAGCTGAGAGGGCCTTGGCTGCTGGACTGTCCCATGCTGTGTGCCGGGGCAGGACACGGCAGGAGGGGCTGTTGGGCAGAGACCAGCGTGGACACATGTGAGACACGCCTGAGCCGAGCGCCAGCTCTGGGGAGAAGGCGCAGCCAGACCTCCGGGCTCCGAGGCCAGGTCCACAGGAGGTGCAGGGGGCTCCCAGGAATGCTGCCAAGTGTGGCTCTCAGTGCGGACGGCGGCGCTGGCTCCTGGACCCCGTGGGCCCTGAGACCTCGGCTGGGCTGGGGGGATGATGTTCGAATCCTGGCTGCAGGGGGCCACAGGCACAGCCTTGAGACTCAGCCAGTGGGGACAGCAAATCCCAGACACGGGGAGAGGCAGCTCTCCGTGCAAAGAACCAATTTCCTTTAGTGCTTTAGCTGTAATATGTTTTATAATTCAGGGATTAAACGGGGACCAGGGGTCTAGTGGCATTTACCATTCACCTCTATTAAATTTATTTCTCAGTGGAATTATATTTAAGCCTAATTTTAATCTGCCATTGATTTTGGAATAGTTTGAATTACTTAACTCTAAGAAAATGTTTGTGTCCTATTGAGTTTTTTATTTTTTATCACAGAGGCATGCTCATGCACATACGCTTTTCCCTCCTTGGTCCTGGGGACGGAATCCAGGCCCTTGCATGTGCTAGGCAAGGGCTCTACCACTGAGTTATGTCTCCAGTGCTGTGGGACAAGATCTCAATCAATTGTGCAGGCTGGCCTCAAACTTTCAGTCCTCCTGCCTCAGCCTCCCGAGTACCAGAGGTTACAGGGAAGGGCCACCAAGCCAGGCCCCATTTAGCTTTCTAAAACAAACCACTGAGAGGCTTTCTTTATACAGAGGTGCCTTGGTTCACAAACTTAATTCTTTCCAGGATTCTGGTCACAAACCCAGCTGGACGAGAACCGAGTTAAATTCAACGGTGAGGTTCAGTCGAGGTTATGGGGAAATCTGACTCACTTCTCACCCGATTCAGTTTGCAACCAGAATCATGGAAGGAATTAAGTTCATGAACTGAGGTATCACTGCAGTCTGAAAACAGATCGAAAAGATATTAAAATCCCTGGGCCGGGGACGTAGCTCAGTGGCACTGTGCCTGCCTGGCAAGAGCCAGATCCTGAGTTCAATGCCCAGTCCTGGGACAAAAACACTAAAATCCCTCATGAAAAACTAACCCTTTTCTTTTTGAGACAGGGTCTCCCTATGTCATTCAGGCTGACCTGAACTTGAAGAGATCCTCCTGCCTCAGCCTCCTGAGGGCTGGTATTACAGGCATGCACCACCACAACCAGCTGAAACACTAATTCGGTCCCAAGATTTCCAGGGTCAAAATTATTCAGGGGTCCAGCGGGCAACCAGAGGGTGTGGCGGGGGTAAAAGACCCCAGAGTGACAGAGGGGGAGGCAGAGATGTGGGGCAGCTACACACAGCAGGCTGTGGCAGGAGGCGCTGGGTCACACTGCTGCTGCCTCCTGTCCCGTCCCAGGGCGCGGGGCCCCTCACCTGCCAGGCGGCTGTTCACGGCGTTGTGGCTCCTCCAGAGCCAGAGCACGGCCTGGTCTGCCGTCTTCACGGAGTCCAGAGACTCTGTGGCCATCTCCTCGAAGTGCTGGCCGCACTCCCGGCACCCGAAGAAGGTGCGCACGTACCTCCGTATGGCCTGCAGCACAGCCTGCGGGTCCTCCTCAAGCCCTGGGGAGCAGGGGAGCCGCTGGGATCATGCGTGGACACTGCCAGGGTTCCCGAGGGGGCTGAGGGCGGCTCACGTGGCGCCCACTCTGGACAGGGGCACAGACTGGCATGGGGACCGGGTGGCGTGCGCACAAGTGGGAAGGGGCCCAGGCTCAGGCACTGCAGCCTGTCGGGTGTGTGAACCCCCACCCGCCAGTCCCTCCGCTGTCCTGTCTCAGCCTCCTGGCCCACAGTGGCCCAACCCCAGGGGACTTCTCCTCTAGACCACGACGCTGGGCTCTGAGACCCACAGAACTCACTCAAGCTGCCAGTGCCCCTCAGTGGCAGGTGGCCCGGGCCTGTGATCCTAGCACCCCAGAAGGCTGAGGCAGAAAGATTCAAAGTTTGAGCCCAGCCTGGCAAGGGCAGTGTTAGCGAGACCCAGTCTCACAGCAAAACAAAGAAAGAAAGGCAGGGCAGCTCGGTCAAAGGCCCTGGATTCAGTCCCCAGTGAGCTGACAGAAGGGCCTCGCCTCCCTCGTGGGGTGGGGCGAGAATCCGAAGGTGCTTTCAGGAAGCAGCCAGGGCCCGGGAAGCCACAAGTGCCCGGCCGAGCAGTGTGGGAGGGGCCTGGCGCTTAGGCCTCCAGCCAGCACCAGAGCTGGCAGCAGGGCGACTGCCGGAATCACCTACCCACAAGCACGGCCGCAGTGGCCCCCAGCAGGCCCTCCTTGCTAGGGAGGTGTCAGCAGCCCGAGCCAGACTCTCTCAGAGGGACACTCGGCACCCGCGCCTCCTGTGCCCCGGTCTGCAGACATCTGCCTCCCGTCAAGGTCCTCCTCCCCCGCCGAGCCCCGCACCCCCAGGGCCCTAATCTCTAAAGTGGACAAGAACCATAAACCCTACCTGGGGAGGATTAGCGCGGGCTGCTGCTTTAGAGGATAGGTTTAGTGCAAGAAGGAAAGAAAACGTCCAAGACTTAATCCGCGCGTCCCTGACCTAATTCCTCAGGCAGGAGGCTGCTCAGAGCGGGCTGCACTCGCCGGGGGAAGAGCGAGACCTGACCGCGGGCCCTGGGCACTGCTGCCCCACACTGCACTCGGACCCAGGGACCCGGGGTCCAGGATGTGGCCGTCCCGCCCCCATGCACCTCTCCGCGTGTGCGTGCGCGTGCCTGCATGTGCGCGTGTGCGCGGCCCCACATGAGCTCCCCCTCTCTCCAGGCGCCTCCCAGGGCAGGGACCCCAGGGCCGGGACGGACTCAGACTCGGCTCGGCACTGACGTGGGCACTGCTGCCCTGCTCCGCTCCGGGCCTCTGTCCCCACAGCCGCCGAGGCCCTGCCCCAGGCGCACTCCTCCAGTCTGCTTTCCCAGGGATGTGGCCCTCAGCCCCCTCCTGTCTGGGCCTGGGGAGGAGGCAGCCACAGATGCACCCGGCCGGGACGGCGGTGGGACTCAGCTCCTCTCCTACCGCAGGTGCCGCTGCTGGGATCTGCGGCCCTGGCCCGGAAGCCAGGCTGCACTGGCAGCAAGCAGCTGCAGGGACGCCGGGGGACTCTTCCTGACCCTGCTGGGGGGGAAGCAGAGTGGGACCCAGAGCTCCCGGCTCTGAGCAAACAGAGTGCATGATGGGCAAAGGGCACTGCCAAGGGCTCCGAGATGCTACTAAAAAGCCTGCTGGGCAGTCGAGTCACAGACTCCGCTAGGCCTCACATCAGCGCACTTGGATGGGAAGACAGATCCACAGCGCAGACAGGCCGCCGTCCTGGGCTGTCCTCCAACATGATCTTCCTGCCCAGGCCTACCAGGCCTCCGGGATCACACGTGTGCACTGCTGCACCTGCCCGTGCCGGGCCGCTCCTGAGGCCTGACCTGGCGCCCTGACACTCGGTCCCCAGGGAGCAGTGGGCCCGTCCATGACGCACCTCCAGCGAGCCAAGGCTGCAGAAGCAGAGGTGTCCAGCCCTGGGAGAGGACTGGCCGGCCGGGGCCTGGGGAGCTATAGGGGCCTCCTCTGTGGACCTGGCCATCCCACAGCGGGCTCCTGACCCTGACTGAGAGCAGGTGGAGGGGGCATGCCAGGCTGCTACTCTTGGGGTACTGTTAGGCACAACAGGGAGCTGACACACCTCCCCAGCAGGCTCACTTATTCCTCTATTCTCCCAAAGGGCAATTCCTGGCCAGCGTCCTGTCCTGCGAGAGCCTGGAGTGAGAAGGTGGACACGGCACACAGCCACGGGCATGCGCAGCGCTGTGCACGAGGACAGCTCACAGCTCACGCACCGAGGACACGCGCCACCCTACTGCTCGCTCACCTGTGCCGGCCAGCGCGTCCGGCTGGCTGGAGGCCTGGACCGTCAGGGTGTGGAAGAGCTTCCAGAGGGAGCACGGGTAGCCCCTCAGCTCCGGGCGGCTTCCTTGACACCCCACCCACCTCACGCGGCTGGGGAGGAAGATTCCGGAAATCTGGGGAAATTCGAAGAACGTGAGACCACTGTGAGGACCGGACAGCTGGTGCCCTCCGCCAGGCCAGGTGGTGGCGGCCGAGGACCTGCGTCTCTCGAACCCGTGTGGCACAGTGGAGACTGCACGTCTCGGCAGGGAGCCCACGCGAACACCAGGCAGAGTGAGGAGGAAGTCGGTCTGCTAAGCTCTCCTGGAAGCGGAAGGCGGGCCATTCCCTGGGTCTCCCCACGTCTCAGTGAGGCAGCCCTGGCACGCTGGCAAGAGCCACCTTTTCTTTCATTGGGCTCAGTCACGAGAGTATTACGAGGAAGAGCAGTAAAAGCCTTGGCCGGCAGGCAGGGAGCAAGTGCACTCCAGAGCAGGGGCAGGAGCAGAGGCCGGGTGATGCGGTCAGCATCACGGTCACCACGGAGACGAGTCCCCCAGGCCCCTGGGCAGCCAGGCGGGCGTGCGGCCCTCGCCCTGGCTGCTGGGGGAGAGGCCCTAGGGTGGGAAGCGTGGCACCCGCCTGTCTCGAGGCCTCCATGGCACAAGGCAGAGCTTGGGCAAAATGACAGAGGGACAGAGTCCCCATCAGAGCTGGGCGCCGCTCTGGAAGGCTGGAGAGCTGGGGCTTCCTGCCTGACACTGAGCCCCGCCTGGTGTGGGTGACAGCCGTTCCCTGAGGGGAAACAAACCAAACACAGAGCCCCGACAACTGCCTGAGAAGACCCCTCCTCCCCGGGGGGCTGCTAGTCCTGGGGCTCCTGCCTGCGGCATCCCGCCGGCCAGGTGAGGGGACGCAGGCTGTCACCCAGGTAGGGGCAGTGAGGCGCGTGCAGCGAGGCCAAGGATGGCGCACCGCAGCTATGGCTTCCTGTCCCCGCTGCAAACTCAGTCTTGAGCCCAGGAGGCCGTGGCTGGCAGGGACAGTTGCACGCATGGGGCCGGCTCACCCGCATTTTGTTGTTGACCAGGTCCAGGACGGCGTTGTAGGGGATCCTGTCCAAGGGGAGGGTGGCCAGCCACTCCTGCAGCGTCACCAGCAGCTTCCTGACTGGGGGCCGGCCAGGGAACAGCTGTGAGAGAGGAGGACCCGCCCTGAGAGGCTGTCAGGCACTGTGCCACCTGCGGCTGGAGCTCGGCGTCCACAGGGAGGAGCCGAGCCTGCCAGACACCCAGCCCCATGCAACCTCCAGAAATGGACTAGACCTGGGCTTGCCCAGGACGGGGCTCTGCAGACCAGGGCTCCTGCAGCAGGAGGTGGGAACTGAAGTGCTGAGGGCGGACACCCGGCTGGCACCCCGCCCCATGCCCACAGCTGCCATGGGGACCTGCCACCCAGGCTGCAGCCCACTAACAAGGGGCCAGAAACAGCGTATTTCCAACAGAGCCAAATGCGCGCTTTTGCCTATGTGGGTACAAAGTCCCATTGTGGATTTGCCAACATTAAATTTGTCTTTAGACACTGAGCAAACTTTAGAACAACCACTCAGAATAACGCATTGTCCTGCCTCAGGGAGTGGCTGCCCTCACACGGGTAAAGCCTCGAGTGCCACACCCAAAGGGATGGGACGAGGCGGGGAGGTCCGGGGGCGGTCACACTCGGGGGCCTTTCCCCGGACACAGCCACACTGGCCGTGGTGGCAGCAGGGACAGGCCAGCAGGACGCCCTGGGGAAGGGGGGCGCCTGTGCTGCAGACTCTCGGACCACGCGGCTCACTATCCTGAGACACGAGCTTATCTCCTCTGCAGTTCAGAATGGCACCGGACACAGAGGTGCTGCTACCCAAGGGGACCGTAGGAATGCGGCTTCTCCTGTGACCAGCAGCAGGGGCAGAGGGCCGGGTGGGGGCTGGCGGTCCCAGAGGTCAGAGGGCCCCGGCCCGGGCCAGGATGCCCCAGGGCAGTGGACGGCCTGCCTCCCCCCACCCCCAGCAGTGTGTTCTCAGCCCAGTGGGATAGGAGGCTGTGACTGTGAACCCGGGGCTCCACGTCCTCAGTAGGCCCCTGACCCCCGGCCCACCCTGCTATGGAGCACCTGCAGGCAGCCTCAGGACCTCACCCCACGGCCCCTCTATTCCGCCTTCCCCAGCCCTACCCAGCTGCGTCCCGAGTCCAGGCCCAGCCGCAGGGCAAAGGTCGCATGGGGGTCCCTCCTGCAGGGCCAGGCAGGCCCAGGCACTGCTCACCAGAGAGGCTGGCGGGGCCAGGCTGTCCTCCCAGGCATCCGAGAGCGAGCGCTACCCAGCCTCCTCCCTCAACTGGCCCCCGCGGGCTGGGTCACCCTGTCCAGAAAAGGCTTCCCTGCATGGATGGCAGAGGACTGTGGCTCCCTGCTGCCTCTCCACAAAGCCTGAGCTCCCCAGGGCCGTACCCCATACCCCGGACCATCCCTCGCTGAACCCCAGTGGATTCAGACACCTTGCCTGGGGTGCGGAGGCCCAGAACCCCTCCCTCGTCCCCGCTGCCCCCACCCCAGGGCCCTCAGAGGCCCCCAGCTGGGCTGCCAGGAGGAGGGGTGTCTACCTCGCCGAACCCATGGCATCACGGGGCAGAGCCCGCCCAACACCCTGGGCCAGGGCCACTGCACCTTGGCGACAATCGTCATGAAGTCCCGGAGGGTCTTCAGCTCGGCTCCAGCCAGCGACCTGTGGGCGGCCAGCTCCACCCGCAGCAGGTAGTGCAGCCCTGACTCCAGGTCGGCGGTGTACAGCTTGGCCCTGGGAGGGACGGGAGTCAGGAGCTGCTCCTCCCGGAGTTTCCAGGGTGGCAGTGGGCAGCGGGCACAGCCACTCGATTTGAGGGACACTTGCCTGTCAAACTCTCTCCAAGCCACGACTTCTGTGCTTTCTTCTTTGTTGGGCTTTTCAGGCAAGGAAAGTGATTTTTTCCTTACATCTGGCAATGACTTCAAATAAGAGGAAAAAAAGGATCGGAGAGGCTTCGCACTGTGGGGAGGAGAGGGCAGGTGGGGACGCCGGGCGCTGTGACCTGCCCGGCCGGGCGCCCGTGAGCGGTGCAGCCAGTCCCCCGGCACAGCGTGAGGGTGTCCATCCCCGCCAGGGCAGCGCTCCAGCCCCACCCCATTCATGGGCACGAGGCAGGGCTGCGGGGCAAAGGTGGCGGTGGTGACACGGGGCCCTCCCCCCGGCCCACAGCTGATCGCTGAGCCGTGGCGGCCATAAGCACCAGACTCATCTGCTTGCCAGACCCTAAGACGGCTGCAAAGCTGGTTTGAGCGGCTGCCAAGATGAGCTTTTCCCCAACTGTGATCTCCACCCTGCCTGAGAGCCCTCACCGAGCACAGGCATCTGCCCGCTCAGCAGGCATCCGGTGGCCACTAGGGGACAGGAGCCCCGCACCCCTGCAGAGCGCACTGCCGGCTGGGGTCACCGGGCTGAGGAAGTCACAGAGCACAGGGCTCCCCAGAGCTGGCGCTCGGCTTCTGAAGTGAGCACAGGCCAGCAGCGACTGTGTCAGGAGGCGGACACGGGGCTCTTCTGCCGCTGCACTGGCAGGGCCACCTCCGCACAGTGGAGGCCCCAGGACTTGGGCCTGAGCTCCTCCTGGGTCTGAGGCTGTGCTTTCTCTACAGTACAGACACCTGGCAAACCGAGGTGCCTGGAATTCAGGACAGGACACTTGTGTTGTCTCCTCGTGGCGTGTCACACGGTGCCCCAAGAACTGTTGGGCATGTACTGCTAAGCTGGTGTACACCAGTGCTGCTGGGGACCAGGACCCGGATGGTGGCTGGGAAGGGACAGCAGGCAGGCAGCCTTAGGACCTCACCCCACGGCCCCTCTATTCCACCTTCCCCAGCCCTACCCAGCTGCGTCCTGAGTCGAGGCCCAGCCGCAGGGCAAAGGTCGCACGGGGGTCCCTCCTGCAGGGCCAGGCAGGCCCAGGGAGACCATGGGCAGCTCCAGACATGGGTTTGCTGATCAGAAACCCTGGAAAACCCTGGAGGAGCAGGAGCACCCTGGAGGCTGGGCTGCGTCAGAATAAAGCTGGGAGGCGGCGCCAGGCCCAGGGCTCCCTCAGACTCGGCCCAGGGCTCCCTCAGACTCAGCCCAGGGCTCTCCTGGCCCTGGCTCAGGGAGGTCCAGGTGCCCGTCCCCACCCCACCCACGCCATCCAGTACTTACACTTGAACGAGCCCGTGAGAGCCGTTGGGGTGGAGCAGGTAGCAGGCAGGCACTGTGGCCACACCGAGCTTTTCCAGCACGGCCCTGTCCCCATCCAGCGCCCTGTTCACCACGACGTTCTCGTACGGAATCAGGTCCAAAATCACCTGCATGATGAGGAAGAGCGTGTCGCTCTCACTGAGGATGGCGGCGAGCCCAGAAAAGCACAGGCCCTCACAGGGCTCCTCCGAGGCCTCCGCCAGGTGCAGGCCAGGCGGCAGGACGCACTCGTGCGCCCGTCACTAGAGTGACACAGGCCCAAAGCACCAGGGGACAGACGTCAGTGCTGCCACTGGGAGTGACCCTCGGCCCCGCGCTGCACTGGGAGACGCCACTGACACCTTCACTCTTACGGCATTTTAAGGCAACCAATGAGACGTGCGTTCATGGGCAGAAACTATGATCTCATCTAGAGATTTTCCAGCCTAAGCCAGGGCAACTCTGATTAAGAACCTTCTCTCTCCCTTTGACACACGGCCCTCCTCAGATGTGACGGCCCTGTAGCCAGCGCCTCCCTCTCCCAGTGGCTGTGCCCAGGCCACGTGCTCTCCCACAGGCGTGAGGTGGGCGGCATGGCCAGAGCAGGATAGCCCGCACAGGGTCCCTCCTGCAAGCAGATGGCCCTGCCTGATGCAGCCGGGGCTGAAGGCGCATCGCTGGGGTCTTGGTGACAGAGGACGCAGCAGTGGCATCTGGGATCCATGGAAACCTCCCGCACACCCCCCACTCCTTGGATGCCCGACCCAGGGGGACCCAGCTGTAGGGCAGCGGCTCTCCTCGGAAACAGGGCCACAGCTTATGCCCTAGGGGAGCTCTCACCCTCCTGCTCTGCCACAGACCCATGACTGCTGGAAAACGGAAACTCTGAGCCCCAACCCACGTGTCAGGCACCAGCCCTGCCCACGGGCCACGCCCACCCACACTCCCGCCACCTGCAGCAGGCGAGCACCATGGGCCAGTACCTCTCGTCCCACGTAGGAGCTGTTGCTCTCAAACAGCACAGCCATGTAGTGGCCACGGTGGCTGCCGAGGAGGGCGAGAACGTCCCTGGGCCTTGCAGGAGAGAAGAGCAGCTCTCAGGGGGCTCGGTGACTGTGAGCTGCAGCACGCGCCAGCACGCGCGTTGCCCTCGAACAGGGACCCTGCGCATACCGCATGCCACCTGCCCTCACGGTGGGGCAGCACAGGGACAGTGCAGCTACTCACGGGATCGGGTCCAGGCCCGGGCAGGCTGGTGGCCGGCTGCTGTCTGTGTGGTTCTGCAGGAAGTCAATCATGGTGCGCCTGACCGTGCGTAGCTCCCTGTCAGGCCCTGCAGGAGCAGCCCGTCACCACCCAGGGCCAAGGAGCCAGCTGCGGGGACCCTGGTGGGCTCCGGACACAACCACTGCCCAGGCCTCACACTGCTCTGCCACACTGCATGGAACACAGCGCAGGGCACCACCCCACAGGGACCAGCCACCTCTGGGCCCTGGCATGGGCACTGCTCGCCTGGCTGGGCTCACCCCCAAGTCTGTCAGCCCCACCCGAGTTGTTTGTGCACTTCTCCAAACATTTTTTCAGCCAGTGTGCTGGTGCACACACCTGTAATCCTAGCACTTGGGAGGCTGAGGCAGGAGGAGCTCTGTGGGCTACACAGTGAGCTCAACGCCAACCTGAACTGCATAGGGAAACCTGTCTCCAAAAAAAATTTTTTTCAATAAAAAATGTGCTTTAAAGTTGGACGTGTTGGTACACAGCTATCATCCTAGCACTCCCATCTGGGAGGCTGAGGCAGGGTGATTCCAAGTTTGAGCCCAGCCTGGGCAACTTAGTGACTTAGTGAGAGCCTGTCCCAAAATAAAAATAGGAAAAAAAGGCTGAGACTGTAGCTCAGTGTGACTGTCCCAATACCGCGCCCCCCCCGCAACTTCAAAAGATAAATTTCACTACTCCATTTTCCAAGCCAGGCAGAGCACACAATGAGAACTGTAAGAAATCCTTGCGGAAACTGTTTGGGCCTGAACTCCTAACAGAAAGGTGGGCAGCGGAGCTGACACAAAGATGCGGAGTGCCCTGTCTGCTTTAATAGGCAAGGTGCGAAGGGGCGGCAGTAGAGCGCTTCCGGTCCTTACCTCTGAAGTTCTCTCCCGTCGTAAACTCCTTCGTAAATGCTTTAAAATACTAGAGAAAAAGACACAACAAATAAGCAACAGCTGGGGAGGTCTGCGCATGCTCGACCCTCAATAACCTGACCACTGCCTGGTCACCAGGGCTTCCGACAGCACCCCAAAATTCTGAGTGACGAGGACAAGCCACACTCCTCTGGGTCTCCCTGGACACCAGCGACCCTGCCAAGTCTACAAGAGGCTACGTGAGCGCCCACCGGAGCCCTGTTATTCCCATTCTCTGATGATAGGGTGTGCAGAATGGCGCTTCCCTCGATTCTGGCATCAAACGCAGTGGCTGGGACAACTGGCTATTTACAGGCAGCACAAGTCACTGCCGAGTGTCAGAGGCTGAGACAGGGTTTTGCTCTAGACTCGGAACTGTCTCCACCAAAGGCACCGCATGCTTCTGGAGAGCCACACCACACACAGGGACTGTGCAGCGGACCTGCACCAGGGCCGTGGGCTCCCTCCGCCCCCTAGTGGGAGAAACGGGTACGACCTGGTTTGTGGGAGTGACAGTGGGGGTGACAGCCAGGCGCTGCCACCCTGGGACAGTACAGGAGACCAGCAGTGCTGACTGCACATGCTCAGGTGCAGCAGGCAGCATGGGCCGCACAGGCTGCGGGGGGCACAGGACCCCCACAGCTCCACACTCAGCAGGGCGGTGGGGGCGCCTGCCGGGGACATCGGTCCCACCGGGTCTGGGAAGCAGCAGGAAACACCAAGTGAAGCTCCGGGTAAGGAACCGCCCTGCGAGGATGCAGGGCGATGACAACTTACTTACCCGGAAGGTGGGGTAGAAGTGGATGTCGTAGGCACGGCACACCTCCTGGTTCTTTTCTTCTGCACAGTCCAGAACAGCAACGCGGATGGCAGCGGCCCAGTCTGAAAAGCGGGAGCACGACCTTCAGCGCGGGGTGCTGCGCCCCCCCCCCCCGCTCCCCGGTGTCCCTCAGGCTCAGGAGGCAGCCAGCCCCAGACAGGGGCCACCTGGAGTCACCGTGCGGCGCTTTCTGTGAGGCGGGGAAGGGGAGCAGCTCTCTACCACAGGCTGGACGTGTCCTCCACTGTGGAGGACAGTGGAGCCCGCTGGTTCCTGCCGAACTTGCAGATTGCCCGGAACTGCCGCATGGCCCACTCCTATTCATTCTCTCTCTCTCTCAGTACTGGGGACCGAACTTGTAGGCCCAGTGCCACTGAGCTAAATCCCCACCCTCCCCACTCCTAATTCAATGACCCCTGGTGGCCGACATGCAGGGAACAGAAGCGGCTGTGGGGGAGCCTTGGGGACACTGAGGCACAAGCCTTGGAGGTGAGTCGGCCCCACATACTCACTCACAGTGTGTGCACGAACACAGCGGGGAAGGAGCGAGCGCCATGCATGGTTTCTCCTATCTTTAACTTTTTAATCATAGAAAAATGAGTGAACGTCGGAGTGGGGGTCCCAGCGAGGCCACTGTCCTGGGCACACACCGTCCCTTCCACTCTCCGACCCGCGACAGCACCAGACCCTGGCTCCTCTGCAAACGCCACCAAGGTCCACATCCTTACCTTCTCTTTTGCTGAGACCACTCTGGTGCTTCCGCCAGGGGGCAAGCGACCCTGGCCGCCTCTCTGGATGATTACGACCCAAGTGCAGTGCAGCCAAAGGGTGCCTGCCATCCCCGTCCTCGGGCAGGTGCCAGCACAGCACCCGGCACACGTCCACAGGCAGAGGTGTCCCATGGGATGCAGAAGTCCCTGGCCCGCCCTCCAGCCCCACACTCTTCCAGGGAAGCCAGGAGGGCTTCCTTTTAACAGGTTCACAGCCTGAGTGTCACCCGAGAGACCCCGGGACCAGCCCCAAAACCTCATGCAGAAGGGGGTCAAAGTACTGCAAGAGATGCTTTTCCCCGGGATGCTGACGTTAGCCACAGCCCCGGGGTCACACTCGCTGCCGGGGCCTGGCCGTGCTGGTCCTTTCTCCGCCCCACGGGGGGCTCACACACACAGCGAAGCCCTCCAGAGGGCACAAGACGCAGGAGCACGGGGCCGAGCGCCTGAAGGACAGAGCGACTTCCAGTCACCTTACCCCACGGCCTCCTCCCGAGGACAGGCACTCGCAGGTGCGGTCACCGGAAGCCAAGCGGCCCTGCTCACCTGTGTCCGGCCCCAGCCGCGTGGCCGACAGTCCCATCAGAAAGGCCAGTGTCACCCTGCTGCCACACTTGCTCACACACACCTTCCCGAGTCAAGGCGGCCCTGCGCCTGGGCACACGGCTCTAGGAGCTCTGCTGGGTGTGCAAGGCCCTGGATTCCATCCCTGGCACCAAAGAGGAGCAGAGAGGAACAATGACGCTTCTTTTTCAAACCGCGACCAAACCCTTCTAGGCGAAACCAACGCGCACGGCAACGCCACTTTAAATGCACGGAAAAAATCGCAGCACCTCCTCAGTCACAGGTCACGCTTCCCGAGTCTCGGGTTGCACAGAGCTGAGGAGGAACAGTTAATACTCCCATCCAATTAGCACGGCAGATGGCAGCAAGCGGCACAGAGCCCCCTCACGCCTTCCAGCGGCTATGCAGCCACTGTCTCGGCTCTGCAGGGGACTCTTCCTCCAGCACCCGGGCACCCTCGCCTCACCCAGACCCAGCTCCCAGACCCCACAGCCCTGCTGCTCGCCAGGAGCTCACATGTTTCCACCCCACCTTTGCAGCGCTTTTTTTTCTTTAAATTTTTTTTTCAGTGCCAGGGATAGAATCTCGGGCTTCTGGAAAGTTAGGCAAGCATTTTACCACTGAGCTACAGGCCCTATTGTACTTTTTTTTTTTTTTATCTTTCTTTAAATTAATTTTTTTTTTTTTAGTACTGGGGTCCTTGTGCTTGTGCAGCAGGCGAAACCACTGAGCTAAATCCCCGGCCCAATTATCACTTTTTTTTTTTAAATTAATTTTTTTTTTTTTTGGTACCGGGGATCAAACTCGGGACCTTGAGCTTGAGAGGCAGGCGCCGGAACCACTGAGCTAAATCCCTGGCCCTTTTTTTTGTTTTTTGACATAGGTCTTGCTAGGTAGTTCAGGCTGACCTTGAACTCACTATGTAGGCCCTGCCTCAGCCTCCCGAGTGCTGGGATGCCAGGCATGCGCGACCCCACCTGCCTACAGCACCTCTGCTGAGAAAGTGGACAAGAAAGTAAAATCCTGCTCCAGGAGAGCCCAAATGCACAAACAGTCGCAGCAACCAAAGCTGTCACACCAACCTAGAAATGGGGCCGGGGTGGGGGTAGTGCCCAGGATGCACCCAGCTGTGCTTCTCGCAGCGGGATGGGGCCTACTCTTTCGTCCCTCAGGTTTTCCTTAAGCACTCGTTACTCGTAAGGGAACTCTGCTGTCCTGGGCCTTGGACACTGAGCAGATCCGCTGGCTCCTGGCCCTCTAACTTCCGAGGTCCCAAGGCGACCTTACAGCCAGGGACAATCGAACCTGGCCTGTCCTGCCAGGCCATTGGGCAGGCTGGAGGGGGTGACACACACGATGCCAATCCTGCCTCCCCTGCCCGCCCCACACCTGCCTCTGAAGCCAGGGATCCCCACCTCTGCTCTGCTCTTGAGAACCAGGGTGTTGACCTCCATGGGCACCAGGAGCAAGGCAGGTCGCCCAGGCCCCAGGGAAATTCCCAGAGCCACGCAGGGAGTGTGGAGCCCCGGCAACAGCTGAGACTTCCTCTCCTGCACACTCCCCAGGGTGCAGCTGGCAGAAGCAGCCAGAAGAATGCTGCCTTAAAAAGGAAAAAGCTTCAGTTTTCCCAGATTCTTAACCAGTGTGACACCCTTGTCCCTACAGTGAACAGCTGAGGCTGCAGTACCAGCTCGGAGGAAACAGGAACAACCAGCAGCCCGGGTCCTGCTGGGCCACCTCGGGTCTCACTGTCAGAGAGCTCAGGCTGGGCAGGTCCCTGCCACACAGGCAGGACGCCGTCAGGGAAGTCCCCACCAGTGAGCAGCACTGGAGGGTGGAGCCACGGGGCCACCAGGGCCAGCAAGGCCAGGCTTCTCCCCAACCCCGTCATGAGCGCTGTGTCTCCAACACGGCCTGGGCGCACGGCAGGGGTGGACGCAGGGTCAGACAGCGGGCCAGGTGGGGCACCCACAAGGACAGAAACAGGACAGACGATCACAGTGGGTTACTTCCAAGCCGGAGCCACTGTTTCCTCGACAGCAGGCCACAGAAGGAAGCCAGCCAGAGGGAAACACAGGCAGGCTGGGAAGGCAGACGGCGCCCAGGCCACCAAATCTTTGTGCAAGCAGCTGCCCCTCCGCCCCTGCTACATCTCACCAAATCCACCCATAGGGCCTGAAACCGCGCTTCCGCCCTGGGACCTCCTCCTCAGGAGTCTGGGATAGCTCCCCCGAGCTGACCTCAGACAGAAGCGTGCCCTCCCCTTTCCAGGCTCGCCACCTGCCACCTGCCACCTGCCTCGGGGTGCCGACCTGCTCCCCACATCAGCCCCTGGACCCGTGACGTCCCGCAGCTCTGCCCTCAGCCCCCAGACAGTAGCCAGAGACGCCTGGCGCACACCGTGCTCCCCGCACAGGACCGTCCTCTGGCTTCCTGAACCAGACAGACACTGTTCACCAGGCCACAGGCTGGGCCCCGTGGGACCCTCCCCTCCTGCCACGCCAGCGCCCCTGCGTCCCTCCACTCCCGGCCAGCCATGTATTCTGCAGGCACCTCTGCCTCTGCCTCTGCCTCTGCTGGCGTCAGCTCCTCCCTCTAGAGGACAACTCTGCTTTGTTCACTGCCTCGCAGGGCCGGGCGGGAAGAGCCTCCCCAGTTTACGCATGGCCCACAGGGTGCACCTGCCTCAGCACACAAGCTCCTGTGATCAACAGGTCACCCGCGGAGCCAGGCGCAGACAGAATGCCTCTGCAGCCCCCGGCCTCCTGACCAGGGCACGCCGGGCGCCGGCATCTCAGGGCCTTTGTCTATGAAAACCAGCAGCGGCAGAAGGGAGACTTTCAGTTACACAGGCACCATGGGCACTGAGGAGGCGCCAGCAGTCACCACGGAGCCCGGCAGATGGACGTATTCACAGGGACACAAAGGACACTGCCGCCCATGTCACCAAACCAAATGCACAACGCCGAGAAGGCTTAGCTTCAGGGTTTGGCCCCATTCAGCAGCACCTCCCTCCCGGCCTCTCCCACCTGTCCAGGCCGCCACACAAAGCAGGGGGTGCTCTGAGTGAATGTGACTTGCTGGGGGTGTGGGGCGCCAGGGACCTGGGGTCAAAGGGTGCCAGCTGGGGGCCTTGGAGGCCGGGCTTCCACGGGGAGGGAGCCAAACCACAGGACCACTTCTCACTGCCCACTTCCACTCTGGAGCTGGGCTGTACCTCAGGCTTAAAAGTACTCGTGAAATAATTAAGTTTCTTTACCTAGTAGACTATAATGCATCTCGGATGTGCCGTGAAGCACTACTACTGAACCTAGCAGGCCAGGCCTTTGTGTGCTAATGAAAAAGTCCACGAAGTCCGATTTATGCGTAAGCATCAATTAGTCCTGGGAAATGATTACGGGCAAGGTTAATTAACCTCCGAGGTTTACCCGAACACACGGGAGAGCTATGTTTGAGGTCCTAAGCTCGGCTGTGGCTTCTTCACCCTCCCAAAGCCAGGCCAGGGTGGGGGGCTCCAGGCTCACATTCTGGACCCCAGATCTCCCTCCGGGCACAGGGCCCTCCCGGAGAGCAAAGTTCTTCTTGGATAAACTCCAAGCCCAAGTGATAAGTGTGGGACACACAGGCAGGGGGAGAAATCCAACCTGCATGCCCACATGTACACCCAGCATGAGTGCCGCCAGGCCCCAGGTGCTGCTCGATCCTGTGCCCAGCTCCACCTTCTCCCTGGTGCTGGTGCTGGAACCCAGGGCCTTAAGCATGCTGGGCAAGAGCTCACCCCAGCCCCCACGGCCTCTGCATTCCCCGCATTTGGCCCAAACCTGATCTGACCCTCAGCATCCATGGCAACTGCATTAAAGGTGCAGTTATGGCTGGGGATTTAGCTCAGTGGTTCCACCGCCTGCCTCGCAAGCAGAAGGTCCCAAGTTCGATCCCCATTACCAAAAAAAAAAAAGGTGCAGTTAGCACAGCCCTATTCGTCTGTGTGGAAGCACAGACAGGTGAGGGACAGGAAAGAAAGCGCCTCTGAAAGGGGCCAGTCCCCACCCCTGCTGAGCCTGGGCCACTCCATGGTAGGGCCTAGCCAGGCACTGTGGTGGTGGCTCTCTTCGGGGCCCTCTCAGCAAGCCTCCCAGGGTCTCACACAGCTGCAGTGACCGGGGGAGGGCCACCCCGGGGCCTGGCTGGTGTCCCGCCCTGGTTAGCTGCAGAGCAGCCTCAGCTGTGACAGCAGGGCCAGCTGGCATTTCCCACCTTTCGCACCTCCCCAAGTGCAGGTGTCCCGCAGCCCTGAGGCTCTGGGCTCTGACACACAGCCTCCACCTGCCCCTCCTCCAGATAATGGGCCCTGTGGGGAGCAGCTCACAGTCTCCTTCACCCCAGACACTCTGTCCCAGTCAAGTAGACAAGAAGAGCAGGGGAAGAGGTGCTGAGGAAGCACGCAGGCCGGGGCCCGAGCTGGCAGCAGTCCCAGGGCACCCTGTCCCCTGCCCACAGGAGTGCAGCTTGTGCCCAGGTCCCGTCCAATGCCCACCAGGCGCCCCCCAGCTGCCCTCTACAGGGACACAGGTGAGCACGTGGGGCTCTGGAGTCACCCACACATGGACCTGGGCTCCAGCCCTCCCTCAGCTGTGGGACCCGGACGGACTCCATCCCGCTCTGCCTCAGGCACCACTGCCCGCAGCGCCCCCTGCAGGATGACTAACAGTGCTCCAGGGGTCCTGCAACCTCTCCTGCCTCCCCCCCCCCCCCCGCCCCCGGAATTCTGGTGCCAACATTAGCCCTTCACGCGCTAGCCCTGTGCTTTGCTCCCCAGGGTGGCACTAGGGGAGAAGACAGACCCTGAGGGGACCCCAGGGAATGCACACTCCTCCTGGGGCCCTCTCCTGCCCCAGACACCCTGGAGAGACACCCTGTGCAGGGCTAACCCGGACAGGGGAGGCAGCCCCATCACAGCTGGAGGAACCGCGGCAGCCTGCACCACACGACGATCCTCAGGAACAGAGTGCATTTTGTTTTGCCAAGCGATCAGAAGTAGCAGGCTAAAGCCAGGTTCAAACAAACACTCCAGTGACCTTTGGCTCACCTAACAGCGGATCTTTTGTTTCTTAAACCACCTTCTTATGAGGAAAAACAATTATTTTCAAAAGCCCGTGAAGAGCTAGGGGAAGTTCAACCCAAGTCTGAGGGAAACACAGGTGCCGGAGGCTGCCCACCTTTCCGCTCCTTCTAGACAGCAGGTAATAGGGGCAGGTGGCACAGCCCTCTCTTAGCTCAGGATCCCCACGTGCAAGCCCCTGGCAGCGACCCCCTGGTGTAGGGACTAGCGTAGCTGGGGAGGTGGGCGGGATGGCATTCAAGAGTGGCCCTGAGATGCACCTGTGGGGCCCAGGGCAAGGTCCATGTGCCCAAGGGGATCAAAACCACACTCCAGTGTGGGGGCAAAGGGCACCCCCTCCCTGAGCCACAACCCACACAAGGGAGACACCGCCAAGCACAGGGGGCTGCCACTCTTGAGGGAAGAGCTTTCCCCCATTCCCCAGGGGAACCAGGCACACACAGGTGGCAAAGGCCCCATTCACAGAAGAGTTCCCCACACCAAAGTTCTCTGGTGTGGAGGACACCACCCAGAGCACGCCCCTGGCTCGTCTCCCCTCCTGCGGCCATAAGCC